GGCTTGGCGGTGTGGGACTGGCGGTGCTGGGCTTGGAAGAAGGCATTCTGGTGCCTTCTGGGGAGAGGACGTGGAGATTGAATGCAGTCATGGAGTGTGTAGACTCCGGGTATAGCTGTGTATCTTCTGTTGGCTTAAGGAGACATGTTAGGAAATAGGAGAGCACTTCATAGGATCCCAAAATCCCAGGTGGTTGGTTTCAAAGGACCTTAAGGATCGCAGAACCATGGAATCCCAGAATGGCTGGCTTGGAAGGGACCCCGAAGCCCCCCACCCCACCCCTGGGCCGGGTGCCCCCACCAGCTCATGCTGCCCAGGGCCCACCACAGCCTCGGGCACCGCCAGGAGGAGGGACACCCACAGCTCTGTTTGATGAAGCTGAAACCACCCTGGGGTTGCAGAGGAGCTGCAGGTTGGGTCCAGCCTCAGTGCCGCAGCCCAGCGCACACCGCAGTGGCCATCTGCCATCTGCCATCCACTGTGTCAGTCCGAATGTTGGTCCCAGGCAGGGGCTGACTGCTGCCAAGCAGGACAGCATGGGGAGCCCCGGTGTGCTGAGACATGTTGGACCTGACCAAGGCCTGGCTGCAGGCTGAGGGGGTTCCTGGCTCCCCAGTTCCCCCATGTTCCCTTATGGCCGAAGGTTCAGCCTTGGCTCCAGCAGGATTAGCTCGCAGCACTTGGCACAGGGAACTTTTCCTATTCAATCTGCATATTTCATTCTCTGGAAATGAGCTGGAAAGGTCCCGCTGGTAGCGCTGGTGCTCAGGTCCCATCCCATCCCCTCCTAAGCACTGCACTGCATAGGCGAGTGCCTCCCGGGGGGGTCTGCTGCTCGCAGGCAAACGCTGAGCTCCGCATGGCAAACCTGAATGTTGCACTGTCTGCATCAGATAGGTGGTGTTGCTTTCATGAGCAGCCGCATGCTGATTTATGGCAACGTGCTATTTATTTATCAACATTTAGGCTGCGGATTTTTCAATTATCCTAATAGCACAAAGCCAACAAGTTGGTCGTGACGTTGCTCCTTTAAAGTCTCCCTTTGAACGCCTCTATAAATCAACTCCCCTTTGATGTGAAGTGGGAGATTTCATAACCGTGTGTTTACTTTTGGGTTTAAAAAAATAAGCTGAAGGGAAAATGAAAAAAAAAAAGCAACAACCGAAAACAAAAAGCAAATAGCAGTTTGTATCTCATTAAAAATAGTTTCTAGCGCATTAAAAGCTGTATTGTTTTAGGAAACGAGAGCTAGAAAGAGTTGCAAAAGCAGTTGATCCTTTTAATGGCTGATTGTTGGCTGCAACCATTGCACTTGTCCTCAGGCACACGGGCACACGGCAGCGCTGCTGGTCTCAGCTGTGCCCCACAGCAATGGGGCTGAGCACATGGACAGGGGCTGAGCCCGGCTGTGTCTGCATGGAAATCAAAGGCTTGCATTGCCCTCGTGGCACAGCTCCTTTGGTCGGAGGGATTTCCAAGCGCGGGGGATGCGAGGTTTGCGTCAGAAGGGTGGGTCGTCGGGAACAGGGTTTGTAAACATTGGGACTCTGGAGATGTGCAGTGAGATTCCTCCATCAAAGTGTGGGGTGGGTCCCACTCCCCCAGCCGCTCCGGGCTGGAGCCCCGCAGCACCTTCGCACTGCTTTTATCTTGCATTTACCCTCCTGCAAATGCATGCAGCTCACTTACAGTCTTTAAATGAGGGCTCCTGGCCTCGGGGAGACTCAGCTGGCACACGCTGGATTCAAAGGGCTGACATCAGCAGCGGGCACATCCTCCTGCCTTGTCCTGGCTGTGCAGCACCAGGAGCACTGCTGTGCTGTGCTCGGGGGACGCAGGGCCACGAGTAACAGCAGGGCTGCTGCTGGGGCTGCACGGTGAGGCTCAGACTGGGTGTGCATTTGTGGGGCTCTGGAGCCATCACAGGGGATGTTCCCCCACGCACAGCAGTGGGAAGCTGGAGACAGCTCGTGAGGGATGGTCGCTGCTGTAATCAAAGGATGATCCAATTTCTGGAGGTCTAATTTTGTTCAGATGGCTCCTGCTGTTACTTCAGAGCATGTGGAACAGGAAAACAGCCTGCAGGAGGATGGCGTTTTCTCACACAACCCTGCAGCTGGCTCCACCTCTGTCACCCAGCATAGGGGCAGGCGTGCCCATGGGTGTGTGGTGCCCACTGGGGTTTGTTGGGGTTTGTTCCACTTAGTTGTGCAAGTATTGTGTGTGTGGTCAGAGCTGGGACAAAGGGAATCACGGAATCACAGAATCACTAAGGTTGGAAAAGGCCTCTAAGATCACCAGGTCCAACCACCATCCTATCCCCACCATGCCCACCGACCACATCCCTAGATGGAAGCCCCAGGCCCTGCAGCAGCTGCACATCCCCTCCCTGTGCAGGTGCATGCTGGAGCGTGTTCTGCAGCCGTGCCCAAGCTCTTCAAGCATGCTAGATTCACTCCCAAAGAAGTGAGGCTGCTGCTTGCTCTGTGGCAGAGCAGTTGGCATCCCGCAGTGCAGACAACCTGCTTTTTCTTTGCAGTCAGATTGATTGAACAAGGAATTGCTGTGGAGGTTTGCACATCAATCTGTGCGTGCAGTTTTTCGTGTCTTTAATCAATCCCGCTGTTATGTGCCCACATCTCTCAGATGGCAAATTGCACCAAGCCCTACAAAGCACAAAGGTGACTGCATGACAAACCCAACTGGTGCCACTTTGCTGGGCAGCCTGAGCTGGTGGGGGCACCCAGCCCATGGATGGGCATGGAGATCCTGTCCAACCTCACCATTCTATGGCTGTGTGGTTCTGTGAGTCCTTCAACACATGCTTGCCATTGGTGTGGGCACATGGCTGGCTGGGCTTGTGACCCCAACAATGTTTCACTGGGGGAACAGCAGGCTCGGATCTCCCCTGTGTCCCAGCAGCACCATCCCACCCCATTTTTGTGAGTTTTGCCCACCTTGGGTCTGTGTGGGGAGCAAGTGGGAGGTGGCATCAGCTGCTCACCTCTGTCCTCGTGCATTGGAGGGACGGGAGGAGGACCTCCCTGACTCCATCGCAGAGTTGTGGAAAAGATGATTGTCCTTGGTCAGCAAGGGATGGAAGTTTGGGGTCAGGGCTGTGTGCCACCCCAGCACAGCTCCCATCTATTTATTGTTATTGCCAAGGGAAGCGTGTGCAATGCAGGAGTCCCTAAGACACTGTAGGATGCAAACCTGAGCGCTGGCCATGCTGCATTTAGTGTTTAACGAGGAAAGCACAGCTCAGAATGCAAGAAGTGCTTTTTTTTTCAGATAAGAAGGCAGCACAGATGCTGGCTTGTGCCAGAATCACCCCAAGCTGCTGTGGCTCAGGGGAAAAAGTGAAAAAGGTCCTTCCTGCAGCTCTGTGACAGGCAATGACGTTTCTGCCATCAGGGATGCCATGCTGGGATCAGTGTCACGCAGCAGCAGTGGGGCTGCAGCACAGTGCCCATGTTGGGTTTGTCATAGCAGCGCAATGATAAATCACAGGATTGGGGTTGGGAAGGAGTCCTAGTGAGAGGATTTCTTGAAATCTTGCATTGTGATTGCACGACGTAATTGCAGGTACCGGCTTATCTCTAGTTTGCGTTTCCACATTGAGAAGTGCTCCCAGTTTGTAAAGGTGCGTTTTGCTGCACTGCTGCATTTTGCCTCTTTGCCACCGGGGGGGGAAAAAACAGCAATCGCATGCATGGTGTCAACGCTTTGAAAATCCCCTCTGAACACTCGCCTGGCAACCCTCTGCAATGAAGATAGGGGGGGAAAAAAAGCACAGAAAGCAGAACGGAGAGGAGAGGGCTGCGTGCTGCGCCTCGCTCGGGCGCGCATCGCTTCCTCCATCTTACCCTCCTCCCAAAGATGGCTGTGGGGCCTCTCCGCGGGGCCGTGGGCTGCGCAGGATCCCCCCCCGCCCCCCTCGGGGCCACCCATCCACCCCTCTCCCCCCCCCCCATCGCCGATCACCCACCGCGGCACACGGCCCCGCCGCACGCGCATGGATTCGCCGCCGCCTCCCCGAGCGGCCCCGCGCTCGGGATTCTCTGCAAAGAGAACCCACCCACGCTGCAGAGATGCGGTGCCGGGCTGGGCTCCAGCGGCTGTGCGGCGTTCACCGCGTTCCGGGCGCTGGGGGCTGCGGGAGCTCAGTGCCCGCTGACTGCTGCCGGCTGCCGGCGCTCCCGTCTCGCCGGTGACGTCTCCGTAAGGACCTGAGCGAGGGCTGCGGCGCGGGGTGTTCCAAAATGCCTGAAGCCAACGCTTTGTTGTCCGTGTCTTGGGGTTACATTAAGGTGGGTTGGATCCTGCCGGGTCCTCGGTGCCTGTTTTTGTGCTGTTTTCCTCAGGTAAAGCCCCTGGGAGGGAATGGGGCCGTTGGGATGGTTATTCCCACACGGTGTGTGTGTGCGGTGCATGCGGCGTACGTGGATGCGAGTTGCTTCTCCCCTTTGGGAATTCACTTCTGTAGGGTGAAATGTTGCTGCAACCGAAGCGTGCAATTAGCAAATGGAGAGCAGTGTATGGCTGCAGCTGGGAGAGCACTGCGTCTCTCTGCAGTGATGCAGGCAGAGCTGAGATTTGTGGCATCTTTGCTTTTCTCTTTGGAACACATGCAGCCGCATTGCAAAATGGAGCAAACTTATGTAATGGAGCTGAGAACAAAAGGAGGTGGAAATAGAATCCAGTACCAGACGTGGGTCTTTCAGAGAGGTTACCTGAGGCATCTCATTTCTGGCAGTGAAAATAATGTCTGTCTGTGGAGGAAATTCGTGTTGCAGTTTTTGCGTGCTGAGCAGAAGTAGGTAGCCGCACTGGTGCTGCGGGGAATCTCAGTGAAGCTGAATGGCTCTGATTCCGTTTCATATCTCTCTGTAACTGTATTTTTCACCTCTTGCTTGTCCGTTTGCTTGCTGTAGAGTTGAAGCCGTGTGAAAGCATTCATAAAAATCCCATTCCTATGTTTGTGTTTCTCCTCCCTCCAGTTCAAGAGGATGCTGAACCGCGAGCTGACGCACCTCTCCGAGATGAGCCGCTCCGGCAACCAGGTGTCCGAGTACATCTCCAACACCTTCCTGGGTAAGCAGTGCCTGGGCTCCGGCCCCTGGGGCAGCCCCTGCCTCTGCCTCCTTTTGAAGCCACATCTCAGCACACAGCATTACTGGAAGGCTTTGATTTTCTGCTTTCCAAACGGAGATGGGGAGGAGAAGGATGCAGCGCTAGCCTGGCGCTCTGCGCAGAGGGATTCCCTTTCCAGATGGAAAGATCTCTCTGGTTGGGCTGAACAGAGCTGCTGTCGGCCACGTTGTGCAATGTTTGCTTTTTGTGGTGACCTTATGTGAAGGACAAAGCCACCCGAGCCCAGCTGCACGCACTCATCTTTGCACCTTCTGCCTCATAAAAGTGCATCCCCCCCCCTCAGAGCCAAGGGCTTGGACGGGCAAGGTCAACCCAGGAGTTTTATTACTCTGTGCTTACGTGCTCATTTTGCACTGGAAATCTGAGCCCACCTCAAAGATACGCACAGCATTTCGCGTGACATTCCTTTTGTAGGAGCTTCCAGGACGACCGACACGAACAAATTAAACATTTAAGTGTTCTGAGAAGCGTTTACTTCCTCTGTGTTTACAAAGCCCAACTTTACAAAAATTACAGTTTACTGTGGTTTCAAACAGTTCCCTAATAGGTGCTCAGTTGCTCTTAAGCAGCAGCTTGATGCTGGGGCCCCACTGAGCACGCATTTCCATTGGCCTGAACACTGTGCCCACATCCTCAGGGAGCTCACGCCCCACAGTCATCGTGGCCCAGAATGCCTTCCCTCTATGACACACCATTATTTCCATTAAGGGATTTTAAAGTGATTTCAGTAGCCAGTTGCAACTGGAGCTGCCACGTGCATTTAGGGCTCATCACATCATGAATAATCCATGTAAGAGTCTGGAGCTGCTTTGTAGGAATCCACTGCTCTTCTCCTGTCGCTCAGCTTAATGGCGACATCCAGAGCAGAAACAAATACAGGGAAGAAGAGCAGGGCAGCCTCACTGCCAGCAGCAGGGCACTTCTGAGTGCCCCGCTGCAGAAATACCCAGTGCAGCCTGAAGCTGGACTTGATATCACACCCATACAGCACGTGTACGCCCATTCTGGTGGGGTCATTGGAGAGAAATTATCAGAGCTTTCAAATGGATCCTAAAGCTCTTTTAGGAAGTTGTGCTGTCACTTTTTTATGAGTTTGCTTTTCTATTTTTCCCTTAAAACGTGGTTTAAAAATGAAAGGAATGCACGGTGTAGAAGAGGTTGGACAAAAAAGGAGAAATCATAGAATCATAGTATGGCTTGGGTTGGAAGAGACCTTGGAAATGCATCCAAGCAGCATTTGTGAAATGAGGATAGCTCATGGATGCTAAAACCAAATGGCATATCTGTGTTCAGTCGCTTGGCTTCATTAAATGAGCTGAGGCTGGCAGCAGTGGGGCAGCCCCAGCGCCGTCACTTGGCCAAGGGTGTGAGAGCTTGGGTTTGTCCCTGGGCCCTGCCATGGGCATGGGCAGGAGCTCGGCCTCTGCAGAGCAGTGCCTCGGGCACAGAAATCCACATGTGCCCTTTGATGGGCCATGAACGTGACCTGCTAACTGGGAGGCATTATGGAAACACTAATTAAAGGTTTAAGGGTAATTACCCTATTTTCCTAAGTGTTATTTTGCACTGAGCACTGAATAACAATATAGAGTATAGCTCTATCTTTCTCTAAGGATTTTCCCTAGTCTGTACTCCTCAGATTCTCCCCTGCACTGTTCATAAGGATGTTGTATACATCAAAAGGATTCTTTTGGGAATTCACAAAGTTCCAGGGAAGGGCCAGCTTGGATGTTAGGAGAAATCTCTTCACCCAAAGGGCGCCCAGCACCACACAGCTGCCCAGGGGTCGGGGGTCAGCATCCCTGGGGGTGTGCAGAGCCGTGGGGATGTGGCCCTGAGGGACGTGGGCAGTGGGCATGGGGTGGGCAGGGGGTGGAGGAGGGCTTTTCAATGTTAATGATGCTGTGATGCTATGATTCTGTATTAATGATCAAAGTAAGGGTTGATGTGAGGGGCTGCGCAGAGTGCGCACACTGTGTTCCTGCAAATGGTGCTGATTTCTTTCACCTTTCTTCGTTGCAGACAAGCAGAATGATGTGGAGATTCCTTCTCCCACGCAGAAAGACAGAGAGAAGAAGAAAAAGCAGCAGCTCATGACCCAGATCAGCGGAGTGAAAAAATTAATGCATAGTTCAAGCTTAAATAATACCAGCATCTCACGATTTGGTGTGAAAACAGAAAAGGAAGACCATCTGGCCAAGGTACATCAGATTGATATGGTTCGTGGAGAATTGGTGTGATCTTGGAGCAAGTGGCCTCCTCGTACAGGTGCTCTGACATCAGCACTTCCACAGCTGCCCTGTGTTCCTGTACTGCAGTAATCACTGGTGCTTATGAACTGGCTTGACTACCGCAGACAGGAAAACAAAACGCTTTGGTGGGAGGGAAACATGCAGACATGTCTCAAGAAACATTTTAACTGTTCTCTTTGTGTCTTTTCCAAAGGAGCTGGAAGATCTGAATAAGTGGGGTCTGAACATATTTAATGTTGCCAGGTATTCCCACAACAGGCCGCTCACCTGCATCATGTACGCCATATTTCAGGTGCGTGGTTTTCTGTCCTTTCACAGCACTGGTTTAATACCTGGTGGCTCCCTGTTACACCACCAGGTGCACTGTGACATCCCTGTGTACAGGCAGTTGTGGATGCCCCATCCCTGGAGGCATTCAAGGCCAGGCTGGGTGTGGCTCTGGGCAGCCTGGGCTGCTGGTTGGAGACCCTGCACACAGCAGGGGCTAGGAATGAGATGAGCATTGTGCTCCTTTTCAACCCAGGCCATGCTGGGATTCTATGATTCTAAGATACTTTTGACATCTCTTACGCAGGAGCGAGATCTACTGAAGACATTCAAGATCTCATCAGATACCTTTGTGACGTACATGATGACATTGGAAGACCACTACCATTCGGACGTGGCATACCACAACAGCCTGCATGCTGCTGATGTCGCCCAGTCCACCCACGTTCTCCTCTCCACCCCTGCACTGGATGTGAGTACTGCTTTGAGCTGAGCTCTGTGCCCAGCCATCTGTAATCTCTATTTCATCCTAAGGAGCGCGTGCTTGCATGTCAGCCTCCCTTCTGAGCAAATGGCTTACTTATACAAGCCTCGTCCTCCTAAAAGTGATTCAAAAAGCAGAGAGGGTTTGTTTCTGTAATTGGGCACCCCAAAGTGGTGATGGGCTTCTCTCACAGATCCCCATTTCCTCCATAGGCTGTCTTCACCGACTTGGAAATCCTCGCTGCTATTTTTGCAGCTGCGATTCACGACGTGGATCACCCCGGTGTCTCCAACCAGTTTCTGATTAACACAAGTGAGTTTTGTTTCAAATACAATCACGGCTTCATCTGCAAACTCAGAGTACGTTTTCCATTACAGCAGGGGCCAAACTGTGACTTTCAGACCACGGTGCTTTCTCAAAACACTGCGCAGCAAATGAGTTCTACGTTTTGAAGTGGAGCGACAGCATAAGTCGAATTCCTATCGAAACAAAGGAAGCTATTGTAGTATAATTTGCAAAGCGGCCTTGAGTCTTGTGATTATCACTTGATAAGGCATAATAAATCTTCCAAATTTCGTCATTAACAGAAGATTGGCGATGCTGTTGCTATTGACAACAATAGAGCTAAATATTGTGGTTCATGTTGTATTCTGCAACAGGCTAAGCATGTGTTTTGGTTCCAAAGGATGGGCATTGTTCTTTTTTGGAAAGCGCGTGTGCAGGATCCATGCTTTCTGCTGTCAGTGCTTCCAGAGCCTGTAACTAAGTCAGCTGGATGCTGTTTGGCTCACTAGGGCTGAGCAAAGGGCTGTCGGTGTTCTGTACACATGTGGTCAGAGCTGCATGCTCTTGGACTATATGATACAAAAAAGGAAACTTCTCTGTTTCTTCGCAGACAAACATCGCAGTGCCCAGCGCTCGCTGTGGAGTCCCACACTGCATGCAAACTGAGTCCATGTTTGTGCTGTTTTGGCAGATTCCGAGCTGGCGCTGATGTACAACGACGAGTCCGTCCTGGAGAACCACCACCTGGCAGTGGGCTTCAAACTGCTGCAGGAGGAGCACTGCGACATCTTCCAGAACCTGACCAAGAAGCAGCGGCAGACGCTCAGGAAGATGGTGATCGACATGGTAGGGCCCTGGCACACTGCTGCTCTTCGCATACAGGCTTCCCTGCCCGGCCGCCCTCACTGAGGTTGTGTTTTCTCTTCCATGAAGGTACTGGCAACAGATATGTCCAAGCACATGAGCCTGCTGGCAGATCTGAAGACGATGGTGGAAACTAAGAAGGTGACCAGTTCAGGAGTGCTCCTGCTAGACAACTACACGGACAGGATACAGGTACAGCAGAGTTCCTGCAGGACGGAAGCACCTTGCCTGTCTTGTTCAGTACCAAGAAAACCACGTTCCTGTTCTTGCTGTTGCTTCCAGATGATCTAGATATAGCAAAGAGGCTGACCCAGATGTCAGCCATCATGCAGGAGCTGTAGACCTCCTGATTTCATGTGCTCTGCACCACAAACACCACAATAGTTGGGTGTGTGTGTGGGGGGGGGGGGGCCTCATGTCTTTTTGGTGGAAGGAATTAGCTGTTTAACTCTTGGAGCAGGCAGCTGCAAACATGCTTGTGCCTCTGAGGTTGATCTGTTCAGCTGAGTATTTGAGGGCTTGTGAATTTCCCTGCTGCTTTTTCTCCTTTCTTTGTCCTAACAAAGAGGTATAGAACGATTGCAGGACCTCAGTTTTAACTCCACAGCTGAAGCAGCTCTTAAGCTGGGTTGAAGCTAATGATGCGCACTGCTCTCTCCAGGATCTAATCCTCACCTTACAGGCATGACAAGGCAGCTCTGGGAGGGGTTATATGCTTCACATGTAGGACGAGGTACACTGCTGTCTCCCCACTTTGCTGGCCAGCTTAGAACAAGAAAACCCTCTCACATTTCTGTTGACATTAGAGCAGCTCCCTGCACCGAGTCCCCGTGGCCGCAGTTAGTCAGGCACCCGGCTGTGTGCGTGAAAGGGATGTTACTCATTGACTAAAGCAGCAGCATTTAACCATGTCAGAGCCTGAAAATACCCTTTGAATGGCGGGAAGCACCTGCATTCAAAAACAAACCTCTGTGATGTCACCAGCGTTGCTGCTGCTGCACCCGGTGTAAGTTCTGAGACATCTGGAACACGCAGAGCGCGCTGCACCGCTGCAGCTGCAGGGCCCATGCACAGGGATCGTAGGGTGCTAACATTTCTGTACCAAATTGCATAATCAAAGAGCCTCGTGGTTAAGTGTTCTGAATTGAGCAAGCAGATACAGCTTGAAGCCGTCCTCTTTTTCCATTGGATTTTATGAGTTTTCTGATGAATGTAATTGCAGGTTCTCCGAAACATGGTACATTGTGCAGACTTGAGTAATCCCACAAAGTCCCTGGAGCTGTACCGGCAGTGGACGGACAGAATCATGGAGGAGTTCTTCCAGCAGGGAGACAAAGAGAGGGAAAGGGGAATGGAAATCAGCCCCATGTGTGACAAACACACAGCGTCGGTGGAAAAATCACAGGTAATTGGCCCGGAGCCACACGGCGGTATTGCCTCAGACACAAAGCTCATCTGCTCTCTCTAACACAACTAGGCAAAGGGCCAGCTGTTCTGAGGGCTGGTTCTGATTGACGCCCAGCTGTGCCTGAAGGTCCTACGGCCCTGCAGCCAGGCTGTGGGCTCCCTTCTCATTCCTTGGCGTCCCCACACTCCCCACACACATGCTTATCTTGCCCTGTTTGTGTCCCAGTTTCCAGAGTGAGCTGTTCTCCTTTTGTTCCCCGGGCTGGAGGAGTGTGATCCTGATCTGTTTGGGTCTCTTACGTCTTCACACCCCACAGCCTCCTTCCTGGCTCTTAATTAGCACCTCCTAATCCTACTGGTACTGCACCCCACATTAGAAATGGCAATGCCTGTCCCTCTGATGGCAGAGATACGAGCAGCCCCAAGGGGGGCTTCACCCAGGACTCCAACAGGGCCCAAATTTTGGTTGCTTTTGGCCTCGTGTAGAATGATTTTGCAGGGCATGAATCGGCCAGTTCAGCTCAGTGGAGCCTCTGTATTGTGAAGTCCAAGTGTAGATATTTAAATTAGTGCAGGTCTTAAAAAGAACTTGGGTTTTTCTTGTATTTGGAGATCACCTGTTTCATCCCTGGTTCTGATTCATATGATGATTTCAAAGTCAACTTAGATCTGACCTGCAGAGCACAGGCCACAGTGTTTCACCTGGTTAGGCAGAAACAAAGCCGGAGGTTTATGTAGGCCAGAACGTACTCCAGTCTTCATATAATGCTGTCCCAGTTGTTGTTTTGGAAGGACTTGAGCAAGCCATCATCAAGGTTTTTCAGTTTGAATAAGTAAGAAAATCGATGATAATTATTTCCAAATGTCCTCTTGGGCTAAGCCAGGCAGTTTCAAAACTATTCACTGGACCGCATGGTGATTTTGTTGGAAAAATCTGTCTTATTTGTTAACCTAACAAGAAATGAATCCTTCAGCCAGGCTTGGCAAGCAAATGCCCATGTGCTCCGCGTGTGAGCGCCAGTTAATTCTGTGGTTCACATGCATGCTTCACAGAGGTTTCAAAATGGCATTTTTGCTTTGCAAAAGGAGTTGCACGAAATGGCCACTACCGAGCTACCAACGAATGCAAAGGAGAGGGGGAAGCGGCGTTTCCATCCCGGGGTGAAACAGAGAACCCAAGGGCAGACAGTGTGCGAGTGTGGCCGAGCTCTGGTGTTCCTCTTTACATCAGAACACTTTAGGATCGGGCTGGAAGCTGCTCTGCCATCGGAGCTGTTTGTGCAAGGAAACGACAGCGCTGTGTGAGGCGGTCAGTGCCGAGCTGTGCTCCCCCAGGCCGTGCCGGGTGGCCATCGGCTCACCGGTTGGGATCTTTGTCACTCTAAAAGTGCTCCGGATCTCCTGTGCTGCAGGAAATTTTCATCACCTTTTCGTTTAAGCTGCCTTCCCAGTATGTTACAATTGAATGTTAATGGTTCTATTGACATCCTGTTGTGTCTGAAGGAGGCATGTGCGATTTCCAAAGCAAACATCTGCGCGTTGAGCCTGGCCCCTCTGAGAGCCATTTTCCTGCTGCGCTGAAACGTCGTCCAGCAGTGAGGAGAGAAGTGACACACTCTGCCAAGACGGAAGAATTTCAATCCTCTTTATGGCCATTCAGTTTTCTCCATCCTGGACATACGTCCTCTTACTCAGACAATTGAAACATGATTGAGCTCAGTGCCTACGCGCCTGCGAGCGGATGGGCTGACGGCCGCACCGCTTCCACCCCGGCACGTCACCACTGGGGGCTTGGGCAGCCCGCCTGGATACAGGAGCAGAACTTGGTGGGCTGCCTCCCCTTCTTCCTGCGCTCTTTCCAAAATGAAGGGATAGGAAAGGAAATCTTGACCAGGCTGGACCGACCAATGCTCATTAGATGTCATTTCTGCAGGGACTTTGGGGCTACTCCGCCTTCGGAGTGGTAACTTGCCCTGTCCCCTGCACAGCAGCGGTTGATTCACTGGGCAGGAGGAGGCACCCACAGGGACATTCAGAATCTTTCAGCCAGGGACAGGTGCGGCAGCTTCATCTTGGAGTTCCAGGTGCCTCCTGCTTTCAGTCTACCTTTCACACAGGGTTGGTTCTGGGCAAGCGTTGATCTGATCAGCACTGATCAGATTCCCCTCAGCTTCTCCTCCTCACGCGCACAGCCCCGGGGCTCTCAGCCTGTCCCCATCAGGAAGTGCTCCAGGCCTCCACCATCTCTGCACGTTCCACTGGGCTCTCCAGCAGTTCCCTGTCTGGCCTGAACTGGACAGCCCCACACTGGGCGCAGTGCTCCAGCTGTGCCTCCCCAGTGCAGAGCAGAAGGTAGGAGCACCTCCCACACCTGCTAACTACACTTTGGGCAATGCACCCCCAGTGCCAGTGGTCCTCTTGGCCACCAGGACACACTGCTGCCTCATGGCCAACTGTTGGCCAACTGTTGGTCAACCAGGACCCGCAGGTCCTTCTCTGCAGAGCTCCTTTCCAGCAGTTCGGCCTCTGACCTACCCTGATGCGTGCTCTTTTTCCTCCCCAGGTGTAGCACTCCTGCTGTTCAGATCTTGCACCTAGGCAGGCGTTCAGCCCGTAAACTCATGCATTAATATCATTTTAACTTTTCAGACAGCCGTCTCAGTGCATTTCCCTTCCCTAAGCGTGTTCCCATGTTTTGCAGGTCGGGTTCATCGACTACATCGTGCACCCGCTGTGGGAGACATGGGCTGACCTGGTGCAGCCGGACGCACAGGACATCCTGGACACTCTGGAGGACAACAGGAACTGGTACCAGAGCATGATCCCACAGAGCCCCTCACCCCCACTGGAGGAGCGGGGCCAGGACTGCCCCGGCCTGATGGAGAAGTTCCAGTTCGAGCTGACCTTGGAGGAGGAGGATTCGGACGGGCCCGAGAGGGAAGGCGAGAGCGTCGGCTACTTCCACAGCAAGAAGATGCTGTGCACGGGCAGCCCGGGGCAGGAGGACGTGCAGCGGGAGGCGAACATAGAAATTGTGACAGAGGACACGTCTCCCGTTGACACATAATGCCCTGCGCCTGTGTAAGTGGATTGGAAACGCTTAACGAGCACGCAAGCGGTCTGGTGGGACTCGCCTGCAGCCTGGGCCTTGGGCCTGTGCCTGACATTGGCTGACGGATCTCCGGGTCCGTGGGGCCGTCGGGGCTCCGTGCTGAACAATGGCTCAGGAAACGCCGTGAGTGATGCTGGGGTGGCCGCGCGAGCTGCGGGCGCCGCGTGGCCGGGGGCTGCGGGCGCCAACACCGAGCGGCCCAGCGCGCGGCGGAGAGATTGCGCACTGTTCGCTCCGGGACTCCAACCCGCCGGGCTGATAGAAACTACTGATCCATAACTCTGCGTGTAGAACCTGCCCGCCCCACCGCCTGTCTGCAGACCTGTGTGCCTTCTTTGTAAACGCCCTCATGTCTTTTCGAGATCTGTTCGATACACGGAGTTCAGTGTGAGCAGCGGCACCGAGTGTTCGGGAACCGACGGATCCTTTTTGATTCTTCCTGTTACAAGAAGCAGTCTTCCTTTTTCCGCGGGCAATACCTGTCACTTTATTGCGGTTAATCACTTTTCCAGACTAAGAGAAGGGATTCCCTCTGTTTTTGCATTACGGCACTTTTAATTAGTCTTCTGAAGGCCCCCCTCGTTGCCTGCCCCTCTGCCCGGGGTGGCTGCGGCGCAGTGGCACGCAAACACCTTCGTGTTCCGCCTTCCCTTCGTTTAGGCCCACCGTCCTCCTCCTCCCGCACTGCCTTGAGCTCTAACACCTCCATTACTGTTTATAACAGTGTATTTATTACGTAATGTATATACTGTAATGTTTTGTAAGTTATTAATTTATATGAATTAGCATTGCCTGTCGGCGGCGATGTTAATTGTGTAGAAGACTCGGAATAAGAGTTGCCTTTTATTTTTCCTTGTTTTTGTTTTTGTTTTTGTTTTCTCGTAACCTTTTGTATTGCATAAAGTACAAAACCTGAACACAGCTGAAGAGACATACGCAACCCAGGGGACGGGGCGGAGGTGGCCGCGTCCTGCCCCAGCCTCCCGACAACCCAATGTGAACCTCTATGACAAAAATGTGAACTGATGTAATAATTGTGCTGTGAAACTCCTCCTGACGACGCCGTTGGGCACGGCGAGCGGTGCCACTCAGTTTGTAACATACGTTTTGAGCTTTCTGGTCCAACTCGTGACAACTAGTTAATGACAATAGCACAGTTGTGCATGATCAATGGGTGTGTATGTCTGTCGAACACTGCATTGTTCCAGGTGGTTATTTTCTTGTTTTCAAAAGTTTCACACGACGTATGTTATAGTATTATATATTGTGTTCAGATGCATTCTTAAGAGATTTTTATATGAAGTGAATAAATGAATGCATGACCCTGTCCCAGGGCTGCTCACAGCGTTGTTTGTTCAGTGAGGGCTGGACTGCAGGTATGGCACGGGGAGGTTGGGACACAGCATAGGGCGGCCAGCACGTGGCACGGGGTGGCTGGGATGTGGAACAGGGTGGCTGGAACATGGCACGGGGTGGCTGGGATGTGGCACAGGCAGAGGGGATGCCCATGGGATGGCTGCTCCCCGCTCAGTGCTGTCCCTGCCCAGCGGCAGCGGCGCCAGGAAGGCGCTGCAGACAGGAAGGCGATGCCGCAGCGCACCGCAGCCCGGCGGTGGCTTTCATGTCCCGGCCGTACCCAACGCAATTGAAACAACCAGCGGTCTTCCAGGAACAACACGCCCTGCTGCTGCGTGGGGCCGGGCCGGCAGCGGGCGGCGGAGCTGAGCGCAGGGCCACATCCTGTCCCCGCATCCCTGCAGCCGTGCCCCGCGCTGTGGCTGTGCCCCCCAGGCACCACCGCTGCTGCTGCTGAGACCGATCTTTCCTTTCTGCCCGATTTATCCTCTGCCTTCGATGAGCCCAGCGAAGCTCCAAACCCACAGCTGAAGGAACACGAAGCAGCGCTGGGGGAGGGAGGGCTGCGGTGCGTTCTGTGCTGCCTCTCCCTTCCTCAACCCCCCCAGGTTTATTTTTTCCCTTCCCACTGACCCACTTCTGGCAGTGGCGTCACCACGAGTGCAGCAAGGACAGCCGCCATGCTCTGTGCTGCAGCAGCAGCATCCTTCCCTGCTCTGCTCCAGCAGCACTGCCACAGAACCAACCCCAGACCTCAGCTAGGGGGATTCCCCAGCCAGGTGATGGCACTCTGCATCCTCTCCTCGAGGATGAGGCCATGTGTTGGCTGCACGCTGCTGGCCCCAGGTTCCTGCTAGCCCCTGCAGCTGTATGGCTTCCTTCAGCATCAGGCATGCAGCAGATGCACGGCGTTGGCTGCTTCCATGGGTGGCATGCAGGGATGGTGCTCTGCCTGCTCCCAGCTGTACCCTGGGATGCAGGAATGCATGCAATTGGCTGTGTGACCATGGTGTGCAGCTGTCGTGTGCAACTGTGCAAGCAGGGAACGCAGCTCAGGCTGGAGGTGGGGTTGTGGTTGGGTGCACAGCACAGTCCCTGTTTCAGCAGAACAGCTTTGAGGAAGCTGTAGGTTTCTTCTGCTGAGCAGCGGTACGTTTCTCACCTGGACAGTGCAGCACGGTGCTGCTCACTGCATGGCAGGGCACAGGGATGCAGGTCCCATGGCATCGGGCTGGCTGGAGCTGTGCACCAGCAGTAGGAGCACCCCCAAAAATGTGCCTTTATTGCAGAGCTGCTCAGCTGCTGGCAGCACTTTGGGTGCAACATGCCACGTTTTGGGCACGTCCTGCCACATCTCAGCATGTAACGCATCTACAGTTCGGGTCTGCTCTGAGGGGCAGGGAAGGGGTCACCAATTTTGCTCAGGTCCCATTTTTGCAAAGCATGGGCCGTGTCACCCTGGGGCTCCCCACGCTGTGTTTCCCCTTCCACTCAGCAGCCGAAGTTCAGCCTCCTCTGTGCACACAGCCGTGCACAGCTGCACAGCTCCATCTGCCGAGCCCAAACCGCTGCACGGCGCCGCGCACACAGCAGGGATGTGCACAAAGGGGCACGTGCCACCAGGACAGGCAGCAGGGATCTGTGCAATGGGAGCCAGCGCTGCTGGAGCCGCACGCAGCTGGATGCCTGTGCAGCTAAAGCCATGCACAGCTGGATCCTGGCTGGCTGCAGCCTGAGCACAGCCAGAGCCGTGCACAGCTGGATCCTCACACAGCTGGATCCTCACACAGCTGGAGGCAGTGGCTCCAGGCTGCCTGAATCCCCAGGGTGCTCGTTTTGGGACCCATTTGATTTTCTTCCTATTGCACTGCCATTTCCCTGCATGGCTCTGTCTGCTCCCTGCAGGGCTCCACCACAGCTGGTGGCCTTGTTCTGCCTGTGGCAGTGTGCATGGAGCGCCCAGGCAGTGCCATCCGACCCAGGACACGATCACCTGCAGCATTTACAGGCTGCCACCTCGCCCTGCATCACCAAACAGGACCTGCCTGCATCTCTCTGCCACCCCTAACACGTGCCCTTAAGCTGGCAGCACACACCAGGAGCTGCAAGAAGATTCCCAACATTATTCAAAGAAAGCTTTTTTTTTTTTTTTCCCCCATATCCTCATTCTTCAGCCAAAAAAACAAGCAAACAGCCCAGGGCAAGGAGGGCACTGCTGGGTCTGCCCTGGGTGCCAGCAGCACTGCTCACAGCTTCAAAGTAGCAGCATCTCAGCACACACTGTTCCCTTGGAACGCCCACAGCCTGCACTGCTCCCGTGGCTTCTCAAGCTGAAACCCAGCCCCTTAAGTGCTGCTGAGCCCCTGCTGCCCACCCTAACACAGAGCACTGGGGCCAGCAATGAACAAGGTGGGATCTGAGGGTTCTTGTGTGTCTCAGCCCCATCCCACCCCAAACATGCTGTAAGGGTCGATGCTCTCTGTGATACAGCCCTCAAATGGGCCAGCAGCCTTTGGGAGCACAGGTGTGCAGCACTGCTCACAACCCCCAGCATTCCCTTTGCATGGGGAATTTTTTAGCATTTCTTCTTCCTAACAAAAACGCAGAGCATGGGACCACAGCTGTGCCCAGTTGAGGCACGGGCAGTATTTAGGATGAAGAGCTGCAGCTGTGCAGCTTGGCCCTGCTTAGCAGAGGATTGCTGAGCTGCTGTGCTGCAGGGAGGAAGAGGAGGTGGGAGTGGGAGTGGGAGTGGGAGTGGGAGAAGGTGAATGCTGCAATGTGCTGTGTGGCTGCTCTGCAGTGAGCACTCGTTGCTCTGTGTGGGCCTGGCAGTGGCACAGCTGGGGTTGGCTCCCTGCTGCTCCCTTTGCTCAGTGGGATGGAAGGGGCCCTGCGGCTCTTTGTGCACGGGGAGAGTGGGGATGGATGGAGTGAAGCTGACGGAGCAGAAGGGAGCAGTGCTTGCTGTGAGGGGCCAGCAGGGAGGGAGCAGGGAGCTGTGGAATCACTGGAAAAAGCCTCTGAGGTGACTGAGTTCCAGCCCTGTGTGATAGTGGGGGCTCCCCTGGGACTGCTGGGGGGATCAGCCTCTCCTTGCTTTGCTCCCACTGGGAGGACTGCCCCAGCTTGTTGGCACTGTGATGTCTTGTTGTGATTTGGTAATGGGACAGCCAGGACAGGCCTGTGTGTCTGTCATCATCTTACTGAGGATGCCTTAATGCTGGGATTTGCAGGGCTGTGCTCTTGGCAGGATGAGGCTGATGGATTTGGGCTTTATTTAGCAAATCCCTCAGCCGGCGCTGGGGGCACCTTGCGGTGCTGTGCTGGTGTGAGGCTCTGATTCACCCACTGCCTCCAGCCTCATCCCAGGGCAGCTGCAGCTCTGTGTGTGCTCACATGCAGCCTATAGTTGTGCACCCCCCAGAAATGGGCCTTGTGGGGGCTGGCTGTGCATCTAAAGTCTCTGAGATTGGAAAAGCCTCCTGAGATCCCCCAGCCCACCCCCTCTGTCCATGTCTCTCAGTGCCACGTTCCCATGGCTCTCAGGCACCCCCAGGGATGATGACGCACCTCCCCCCCAGTCAGTGCCAGTGCTGACAGCTCTGCTGGGACAACCATGGCTGCACCCACCATTATTCAATAGCGTTATGGCAAAGATGCTGCAGCTGTTGGTCTCCAAGCTTCTGAGCGGTGAGGGCAGAACCTAAAGAGGGGAGATGTGGGCAGAAGGTGGGTGAGCTCCCTGAGCAGGTGATGCTGGGAGGTGAGAGCTGGGGGGGCGGCTGCTGCTGCTGGCACTGTGTTCCCCTCTGTTGCATCCTCTTGCATCTCTTCTCCGTGTGCTTGCAGGTAACACCATTTGTCCCCTCCCCCCCCATATTTTAATTATATATATTTATTTTAAATAATATCTCCAGTGCTGCCCTGCATGGTGATGCACCCAAGCACCACAGTGCAGTGGCATTGCATTGCAGCCCAGGCTGCATTTCCTAGCAGGACTGTGCCAGGGGTGCAGGTGGGGGGAGCACGATGTGTGCTGGGGGGGGGTGGGGGGGGGTGTTAGGTGAGCTGGACGAGCGCACGGGGTCTGCACCACTGCAAGGTGCGAGGGGTTGTGCAGCAAAACAAAAAAAAGAAGGAAAAAAACCCAAACAACGCGACAGGGCCCCACCTGGGGAGGCGGTGGAGCCGTTCGTGTGCCGGCATCGGCTGCTCGCAGCATCCCGGGGCCACGGGAGCTCTGTGCCCCCCCCAGCGCTTCTCGGGGCCGATGGCCGATCGTGACGTCACCCATTGATTCCCCGTGAATGGCCGCGGGGGGGGCCCGCGCTCCGTGCGCGCTCCCGCGCGCTGACAGCAGCACCCGGCAATTAAAGCCCCCCCGCTGCAATAGGATTACGGGGAGGGGAAGTGCGTCACGGGGTACGGAGAGGGGTTCTGCTTTTGGGGAAAGTATTGGGGGGGTGGGGGGGCGGCTGGGAAATAGGCTGCGCGCTGCCGGCGGGAGGAGCGCGCTGTGACGCGGCGCGGGGGGGGGGCACCGCCTCTCCGAGCATCTCCGGCGCTCCGGGGGCGGCACAGCCGCAGCCCCGACCGTGGGCCGCCCCCCGCGCTGACAGCGCCGCTAACAGCCCCGTCGATCCGGGGGGGTCCGGGGGTGCGGAGAGCGGGGCCCGACCGTCCTCCTCATCTGTGTTTTTCAGCTCCCGGGAGAGTGAGGAATGCGATTCTGCCACCATGATGGAAGGTAGGGGGTGGGGGAGTGATGGGGGGGCGGGTGAGGGAGGGGGGGTCGGGGTGGGAATCCTTCACCTTTTCATTTGAAATCATCATGATAAGATCGTGATTAAAATCCATTTCCCCCCCTCAGCTGAAGCGTTCTGCCGGGTGGAGCTGCCGCCGAACCTGCGGGGGTATCTGCGGGGCCGGGGTACCCCCCCGCATGGGCTCTGCACGGCCCCGGCCCTTCG